ACCGCAGCCTGGTGTCCTACCACATACTCATAATTTCAGGGCTCAGGAGGCTGAGGCAGCTGGATCTCTGCAAGTTTGAGGCCAGCCTGGGCTACATAGTGAACTGAAGGCCAGCCTGAGCTACATGGGGAGACACTGTCTCAAAAAACAACAACAAAAGCAAAACCAAACAAAAGAGCCTTCCCTTTCAGTCAGATCTGTGGGATGCTAGTTAAGCTTCTAAAATAATTGGGAAATTTCTTCCCAGGAGGAAGTCACTCCTGGCCAGACAACGCTTCCCTCATCCCCCCTTACACAGCAGAAACTTGCCAACAGTGTGCTGTGACGGGCCAGCCTCCTGCTCCGGAAGAGTTGTGAGATGACAGTGTCTCCTCCCAGTCCATTTGGGCACTGTGTCCTGCTGACTCCACTCCCAGTGACCCGAGCAGGCTCTCTGGCCCCACTCACAGCCGCTGCCCCAGTGCATACAAATGGGAATGGAGAATTAAGTAGCCATCAGCCAGTCTCCTTTCCTTCAGGTTTTGCTCTTGAGAACCCCAACATGTGATCCAGAGTGATCTTCCCAGAGCCTGGCTCAGATGGCGGCTCCACAGGAGGGTGATCCACCTCCTGCTTCCCACCGCAAAATTCTCAGCCCCAGCTGCCACTGTATGGTCCCAACTGGCTCCACAGGACTGTTTCCTGGACACTTGTTCAGGATCACCTCACCCAGGGTTTCCTGGAAACGTGGTGCTTCCCAGGCCTGACTCTGCCTAACTCCCCGGGACTCTTGGAGTGCAAATGAAATGCATTCTCCAGGAGGCTGAGCCATAGCCATGTGCCCTGCAGCTCCGAAGGAGAACTGGGCCCAACCTACATTGACCTCACAGTCCCACCTGGGCATGTGCCACAGCCCCGCCTCTGCTTGCTAAGTTCTCTACCCTTCAAGGCAACACCGAGTTCTCTGTCCTCCAGGAAGCTCCTCCTGTAGCAGACGCCCACATGCCCTCTCTGAATGCCCATGGCCACTGTAACCACTCACGCCCCCGTCCTGCCATTCCCTGCCTGTGCCTCTAGCTCTCTGCCTTTGTTCCTTAGTTCCTGGTCAGGACACAACCTCAGAAGTTCCTTACCTGGCCACTCGCTATCCCCTCCCCATCCACGCGGGGAAACAGCAGCCCTTACCTCCCTCGCTTTGGAGATTAATGAGTTCCTTCATGCAGAGCACTTTAAGTTGTGCAGTGAATGTAAGCTCTCAGCATCCTGTAGTCATGCGTCTTTCTTTGTTCCTGCTCTTACAGTACAGTGTTATGGTTACCGTGTCTGCAGTTTTCTCCGAGTCTCCATGGAAAGCAACGATTTTGTTTTCGCCAACTTGAGACCCTCCAAAGCCACAGACCCAAGCTCTGGCCCCTACAGGACACTAACAAATGTGTGCCACAGAGTCCATGATGCCTAAGGGTTCCCTTCCTTCCCCCTCCCTCAGCCTGTCACTGCAGCTACAATTTCCATCAAAAGAATTTATTACTATCGTACCTTGCAATTTTATGTCATTTTGCAGTTATTTCATTATCACCTGACATTTCTGTCAGACTCTAACTTCCTTGAGGGCAAGGATCTTATTTTTTTCTCACTCTTGTGTACACAGAGTCTAACACATGCTACCTTCCCCAAAAGATTTTGAATTCCTTAGCAAACTCTAATTAATGAAACATCGATTCATCTGCATACCAGTGGACTTTTAGCTCTCTAATCATAATGGAATGTGAGCACTGGAGCCGCTGTGAACAAGTGTTCCGAGTAAGTAGACCTAGTCAGGGGTCCTGTCACAGTACAGGTCAGCAGCGGTTAATAATAGGTTCACAGTCTCCAAAGCAAGGTTAGTACTCAGTGTGGGCTTTGCGGTCAACAGGCTAGTTCGGGATACTGTGTACCTGTGTGGCCGTAAACTCTTCTCATCTGTAAAATGGATTAAGAGTAGACTGGCTCATAGGGTCACTATGGAAGTAAATGCTCCTACAGAAGTTAGCTACTATGATGGAAGTGTTAGCGTCTACATAACACTACGCACCAGTCCAAGTAAGCTTTTATGCTTTGATTTCTTTAGCTACAAAATGATGCACTTGAGTTCTTATTGTATAATGAAAATAATGAACTATTTACAAGTGAATCATAATCATGGAAATTTAGGGCCCATCCAAGTGGGTTTTGCTTTCTGGAGGAATTTTAAGTAAATTTTCAATGTTCCTTACAGGAAAAAAAACAAAAAAACTAAAGCGACTAATCTAGAGCTAGAACAATTGTTTGCCAGCCCTTCTAGCTGTAGGCTTCTCACTTTCCAATGCTTTTGATCATAAACATGATTGTGACCCTAATAAAATCCAGAGCCTGACATGCTCTGCCTGAGTGTGGTCACATCCCAAATCCTACAGAACAGGGGCCACATGCAGCTGACGGGGATGGCTCATCTTCACTCACAGCTCACCAACTTCATCCAAACTCACTTGATTCATAACTCAGCGGGACACATCCCAAAGACACCCGCTCTCTGCCCTGGGGATGCTGTCTGGGACACTCTCCAAACCCCACAGTCTTGCTCTGGGCCTGCAGCTGGTAAGACAGGCAGACCTTTCTCCTCTCTCCATCGGACCTCCTGGGCTGAGAAAACTGCCCTTTACTGGAGGACTGAATGGAGGTGAGGCAGTTCGGGTGGGAGACGGCCATTGACTTTTCAGAACCCGCCTCCTTCTCTTTTAGTAGCTAAAACCTCTGTTTTCCTTTCCTGTCTGTGGGTCCCTTGGTGGGCCGCTGACCATCCCCAGGAAGTGTGGGACTCTGGTTAGGAGAGGCACAGCCTCTCTTGTTCACTCGAGCAGCTGTCCTTGGTGCTCCATGAGCGGTTTCTGCCTTTTCACCCCTTTGGTCGCTCGGGTTCCACCACTGTGGACATCAAATTCCTTGCATTTCCAAGTTGCCTGGTTGACTTCCAACCAATCTGTCTGTGTAGCTTACCCAAGTGGATTTCTGCAACCACACACTAGTGGGACGACTAAAACCCATATATGAATAAATCAGGTCATCATCCCAGTTTGTAAAAACCATAGCTGCAACCCTGGAGCAATGAACCTAAACTTCACTCATCTGTACCATTATGATATTATTTGTTGCAAATCACAGTCAAAAGTCAGCCTGCATTAAATTGCTTTCTACTTGCTTTGCCCACTCCACACCAAAATCATTGGGGTGAGTCCAAAATTCCCGATGAAGAAAGGACCAACAGTCATTCCTGTGTAAAGCCCTTGTCTACAAAATAATAATGTGCAGCAAGGACCCGCTCAGCGACCGGTTATGTGTCTTCTACTCGATCATTTAATCTCCCTGAGCTTCATGTGTCCTGTGCATGAAAATGTATGCAACCATGTTAGCTCTTTCTATTTCTCAAGGTTGCTGTAAGGTCCAAACTAAGCAATCAAATGGAAAAAGAGGTCACTAAATCTGTGGTCCAGGCAAAAATGAAAGCCAGTCACCAGCGCTGTCTTCTACCGGGTCCTTCCTCCTCTCACTGTTCCTGTAGAAACGCAGGAGTTCACTTCCTTTCTCGTCCACCATCCAGGATGGACACAACGGCTATGCTGTTAAAATGTGAATTCCGAGCTAGACCATGTTTAGCGCAACTTTTTAAAAATGAGTGTGTGCACAGTACCTGACCCCAGGCCACAAGAGGGACAGGCCATTCAGCGTCGCTCCCCCTGGGTTTGTGAGAATTAAAATTGCTTCCAGTGTTGCTTTTTCTTTTTTTCCTATTACAAAGCAAACTAGAAGGACGTGTAAGTACTTCAGTCTGGAAAGTAAGGAATCAACTTGGTAGTCTAGAACTTGACTAAATTCTGTAATTATGAATGGTTTCTGCTCAAATTCCTGTAAGAAAACATCTGCTCACAGTTCTGTAGGAAGAGGAACGCAGTGCCCGGCGGGGAGAGGTGCCAGGGTAGAAATGCAGAAGTCACTGGGCTTTGGGAAACAGCCCTGGCCCCAGCAGGAGGGAGAAGGGAGCAGACCGCTGTGGCCCCCACGGGGATGGTGTCCACTGCTGCTCCTGCTTCCTAGTGACAAACTGCTTCATGAGAGCTGGGTGTTCCCAGCAAATGGCCTGCCCAGGGCCTGTGTCCTGTTAATCACAGCAGCCGCCATCACCATGGGGCTCCCTACGTCAGGTTGCTGCACGGGTTGCTTTCTAACTCTGGAGGCAGGCACGGGGAGATGGCACCATGGCTCCCAAATGTGCAGCCCTGTCCCTGTGTCCTTGACTCGGGCGGCTATAGTGACTCCCACCTCTGCAGCCAGGCTTTGCGGTTACAGCACAGGCCTACTATGTGGCCCTGGGCAATGTGCTCCTTCCTTCGGAGCCTCAGGGTTCTTAAATAGAAAACTGGAATAAAAACACCTCCCTTGCAGGGTGTCCTGAGCATTTCTGGGTGAGCCTGGGTGAGTGACAGGACAGGGCAACCCGGGACACTCCAGGCTTCTCCTTGAGGCTCTTTCCTCACATACCTGCCTGAGGGCTGCTTTCTGGGGCTCAGCCCTGCCCTTCCCTTTTCAGATAATCCCTAAATGCCGGGCCCCAGGATTCTCCATCTGAAGGAGTTAAAATAAAACATCTCCAAAACCAAATCAGTTAGATGCTTCAGTGGTGGGGTGTCTCAGTCAAACCCACAAATCTGCCTGGAATCTGACCATTCTTCTTACCTCCTCTCTTGCAGCTAGCTGGTCCAGACCCCTGACTCCTCACATCCATCCCTGGGCCGACTCCCAGCTCCAGACCTCTCACCAGCAGCGCTAGGTGCTGCAGCGACTCCTGTATCCTGCCTCTTGGGCGCCCGGGGGCAATGCAGAGCAGGCTGCTGTGTGGCCCTCGAGCTCCTCTCTCAGGGCTCCTCAGCACTCCACACAGGCACCCCTGCCTGCCGCCAGGCCTCCGCACGTTACCCAGCATCTCCTGACCGCCCGGCAGGCTCCCTCACCTCGCGCTCTCTGCTTTCACGCTCTTGACCAGGGAGAGGTCTCCTGTTCAGTAGGTCCGAAGGAAGCGTCCACCACATCTCTCTCCAGCCCATCACAGGTTTCTTCCTTGCTGCTCAGCCATCCAAAATGTTCTGCCTTTTTTCACTGAGTAGATGTCTCTCCCAGGAAAATGTCAGCTCATGACATTTATGCTTTATATCAGTTGCACCCCAGTGTTGAAAAATAAGACCCAACACACAGTCTGTGCTCTGTGGCTGGGCAGAGGATTTGCATCTTTACTCAGGAATGGCTGGGTAGCTAATGTTGGGGTCTGGAACTAAAAAGTCACAACCGGGCTGTGGGGAAAGAAGGAAGCATCCAGCATCAACAGAGGGAAGCAAGAGAATGGGACATAGACAAGGACAGAGGTGACAGGCCAGACCAAGAGAAGTAGAAGGAGGAACCATTCTTCCTGACTGCCACGGGCCATCACAGGCCCTGGGACCTAATAATACCACAGAGAAGTATGCATACACACACACACACACACACCACCACCACCACCATCACCATGGACACACCTAACACATACACAACTCACACCACATACCACAGACATACCATATACACACCTCACAACACAGAGTACACACACACATCATGCTTTGCAGAAGAGTAAGTTCTGGGTCACCCCACAGAACAGCAGTGTGCAAATGCCTCACACAGACAGGCACCCAGAGGGTGCCCACTGGGGCTCGTTCTCTCTCCATTCCGGGGCCCCAGTTATGAGCAGTCTGAGGCTGAGAACCTGCACCGGTCCTCCCTTCCCTACAGTGTCGTTTTCTGGAGAGTCTTAGCCACGAACACCGCTCAGCGGGCTCCACACACACCACCCACCTTGCACAGCATTTCCTGTCACTCCATCTGTGTCCCCTGCCACGCTGACTCCCTGCCCCAAATGCTCTGACAATAGCGCCTTCAATTTCAGTTATTCTGGCTAGAAACTTAGAAGTCAGATGCAATATCCATCTCCTCCACTCTCCCATCTGTCCACACAGCTTGTGCATTCACTCTAAACACGGCCTGGACTCAGCCTCTCTGCATCTCCAAGATGCAAGCTTGTAGGACTTCATCTAGGAATCTTCCTGTAACCCCAGAACAAGTCAGATCCCTGTGTCCGCTCCAGTAACCTCTGTATTTTCTTTCACAGGATTGGCTGTGATTTCTAACTACCCATTTATTAACAGTATTTGACTGACATCTCTCCCATTAGACTGCAAACTCTAGCAGGGTGGATCTCAATGCCATTGAATGGATAAACGGATCTTTGCTTTTTGTCATTGCTTTCTTTGTCCTCATCCCCATCAATAATAAGTTGCCGAAAGGGTTGAAACATGCGCTATCACTGCTTGTGTCTCCTTTCCCAGTTTAGCACAAAACTAAAAGCATGCGAGGTGCTAGTAAGGACTTATGTCAGTAACTCAGCTGTTGAGTTTGTTTGGGGAATGCAAGTCTCCCCTCCCAAGTGACCAGTCAGGCATCCAGGCCCCGCCAGCCTTAGCTGGGAGCGGCGGTGATTCCACAGTGCACACCGGGCTGGCAGAGGCTCCTTCCTTTGCCTCCTGACACGGCAGTAATCAGAAACAGCCGTCACCAGCACGCTGCATTCCCCGGAGCACCGTTGGATGCGGGAACACATGTAGCTTGGAGACCACCTGCCAGGAAAAGAATAGAAGAATCATTTGCTGAACATGGCAGGGGTGATGGCTAGGGGGATGAGCCACTGCATAGCAAATAGCTGCCCCTTCTTCCCCAAAGCCCTAAATAATTTCTTCACTTGAAAAAAGAAAAGGAGGAGAAAAAATACATGATTAATTTTTCATGTAGATCTTCCCACTGGGAAGCTTAGGGAAGGGCTGTGCATACTAAGAGCCCAACTGGAGCTGTCACAGTTGGCCTGGCTCAGAGAGGGAGGGAGCGGAAGGAGGGAAAGCCTGGGGCCTCCACCTGGGGTCCCCTCGAGGGTGTGACAGGCACAGAGCGCCTGCCTGTTCTCTCGTCTCTAGATCCTGCTGCATCTCAGGTGTGGTCACCTCCACTGCCCCATTTACCATCATGCCTTTGGAGGCAGGACTGGTCCTCATTTTACACACCAGGAAACTGATGTATGGCAAAGTTAGGCCCCTTGGCCAAGGTCATCTGTCAGAGGGAGGCAGAGTCAGGATTGCAGGTCTAGCCCAGAGCTGGCCCCCTGCACCCTCACGCAGTGCTGCATCCTGGCAGGTACTGGCAGACCCTGGGTGACCATCTGTCGGAGGCTGTGTGGCAGACATCCTTCCGGGTGGGCTCCAGACAGCTCCAGCCCTGGGGCCCAGGCCAGATTCACACACACACATTAACTGGTGCAGTGCTCACGCTTTGTCCTGGACATGAGGAAAAGCAGCAGGACACAGCAAAGGCCACTCGAACGCTGCTTGCCTCCGGTCCCTCGCAGTCTGATCCAGCAGCTACCACACCACCTCCAGCACACTGTGCAGCTCCGTTACCTCAAGGAGGCTGAAACACTCAGCTCTGCGAGGCTCCCAGGCTCATAATTGCCCTCTTCCCCCTAACTCACAGTGTGACCTTGGGGAGACCCCTTCACATCTTTGCATTCGTTAGCTGCCCTAACAAGTCCTACAGGGCATTCATGCGCTCACAGTTCCAGAGACTGAAGTATGAAATTAGGGCACCTCCAGGTGGCTCCGAGCAAGAGTCTGCTCTGGGCTTCTCTCCCACCTCCTGGGGGTGCTTGGTGCTCTTTGGGTGTAGAGATGCACAGCCCAGCCTCTGCTCCCACCTTCCCGTGGCCCTGCCTCCGACTGTGAGGCCGCAGCCATGTCGGATTGCCTGCCCATCCTACTCTAGCCCGACTTCATCTGGATTAATTACCTCAGCAAAGCTCCGCTTCCAAAGGCAGTCACATTCTAAGGTACTGGGAAGTGAGCTAAAACTTCAGCATATGTTGTGGGGAGGACACAATTCAACCCTTAATAATCTGTGCCTCAGTTTTCCCCTAAAGGTGAATAGTAACATCGCATCCTTCATTGGGTGTTTGTGAGGACTGGATAATATAGTGCCTGGCAAAGTGTCATGGTTTATGTCTGTGTCCCCCAGGCCTCATGAGTTTGCATTGCGTATTTGTGATTGGTTCATTATCTAGTGCTTGGATTGATGGTGTCAGTGCTCCACCCACATAGGGGTGGAGCCAGGATGTGATGTAATGGCAGGAAGAAGGTGTGTCTTGCTTTTTTGCTGGTTTTGGCTTGCTGTTTGCAGCCGCCATGAACTGCAGCCCAGCCATGCCTGCCTGCCTGCCTTGGAGCCAACTGAGTGTGGACTGAAACCTCCAAAAACTGTAAGAAATAAACCTTTCCTTTCCCAACTTTGGGCTTCAGGTATTTTGTCTCAGCGAGGAGTAAAAAGTAACTAAGACATAATTTGGTACCGAAGAGTGGGGTTGTTTGCTGTGACTATATCTGACCATGTTTTTCGAGAGGCTTTGGAAATTTCTTGTGGACAGAATTTGGAAAGACATGTCGCCTGGATGCATAGAGCTGGAGCAGCTTAGGCTCTTCTGTAAAGGAGATTCTGGTCAGGGCTCAGGAGACCAGAAGGCTGATAGAAAGCCTGATGGTAAAGACCAGGCTTGGGAGGTTTCTGCTGGGAAGAAGGACTGCATTGGTTGTTGGGCTCCACATGATGTGTGTTATGGCTTGGCAGAAAGTTTGTCTGCATTTTGCTCCTGCCCAGAGACTGCCTGAGACTGAGACAAAGGGCAATGGACTGATTAATCTTGAAAAAGAAATTAAAAAGCAAGCAAATGTTGAGGCTGTGGCATGGCTATTGTTGGTGGCTTTTAGTGAGCTTTATGTTCCAAATCAAGAGCAAAGAGCCCAGCAGGATAATTTACAATGCTGTGAGTTTGGCCAGAAGGAAAATTCCAGGAAGGCTGTGGACTGTAAAGACTTTGAGTTGAGATTTTGATTCCTGAGGAGAAACAGAGAGATAAGAAAGATAGCTCCAGGGCATCCCAGGAAGCTCCAGGGCATCCCAGGAAGCGGGTCCCCACCTGTGCAGCCTCACTGCAAAGGTGAAAGAATTTGCTCAGAGAAAAAAGCTACAGAGTGCCATGCTCCAGAATGGTGACAGAGGCTAAGTGAAGTTCCAGAATGGCGACAGAGGTCGCATGAGTTTCCAGAATGGCGGCAACACAGAGAAGCTTTTCATCACATCAGGCAAACAGAGCCCTGCAATCCAGGCAACTGACCCCAACAGCCAAGAGAGAGAAAAGCCTGGCTACTGCTTCAGCTAGCAGCAAACCTTGGCGGCATCCACACGGTGCTGATTTTAGGTGCCAGGAAAATGCACGAATTCTGAGGGTAGGACGGCTTCCACCTCAATTGCAAAGGGCCTGGCTGGCCAAGCAGTGTGCCCCTGAGAGGGCAATTTGTGAAGATGTAAAGGTGAAGCCAAAGGTGCAGTGGAGACCCCAGAAGTTTGGAAAAGCCAGGAACGTGGATGATCCAAGAAAAGCTGCAAAAAGCGAGCAGAGAGGATTTAAGAGAGAAGCTGCGAGAGCTGATATCCCTGGAAGTGCCATGGGGGTGGAATCATCCAAGCCTTTTGGAGCTTGCAACCAGATTGCTTCAGATGCTGAGCGTGAAACTCTAGGACTTAATGTTTGTCCTGCTGGATGTTGGACTTGCTTTGCTTCCAATGCTTTCTATTCCCGTTTGTAACTTCTAGAATGGTAATGTTTATCTTGTGCCTTTGTATTTCAGAAATGTTTAACCTTGTTTCATTTGTTCAGGGGGTTACAGTTAAGAGTTTGCCACAGATCTTTGAGGAGATTTGGGACTTGGACTGTTCAGCAATGCTGAAACTGTTAGGACTTTGGCAACTCTTGGAGGTGGACTAAATGTCTTTTGTATAAAGGATGTACATGAGTCCTGGGGGTCAGGGGTGCAATGTCATGGTTTATGCCTGTGTCCTCCAGGCCTCATGAGTTTGCATTGTGTACTTGTGATTGGTTCATTGTCTAGTGCTTGGATTGATGGTGTCAGTGCTCCACCCACATAGGGGTGGAGCCAGGATGTGATGTAATGGCAGAAAGAAGATGTGTCTTGCTTTTTTGCTGATTCTGGCTTGCTGTTTGCAGCCGCCATGAACTGCAGCCCAGCCATGCCTGCCTGCCTGCCTTGGAGCCAACTGAGTGTGGACTGAAACCTCCAAAAACTGTAAGAAATAAACTTTTCCTTTCCTAACTTTGGGCTTCAGGTATTTTGTCTCAGCGAGGAGTAAAAAGTAACTAAGACACAAGGCCTTCAACAGTACCTGGTAGGTGACAAGAACTCCACGAATGTTAGTTGTGGTTAATAATGTCGTAATTGTCTGCAAAAGGAAGTGAGCATGCTTTTTGTTCTGAGACACTGCTGGAAGAGATTCTACAGTATTCTCATTTAGAAGCAAGTGACTGTTCATTGAAATATTGCATAGATGGAATTCTGAGTTGCATATAACAGAAATTACTCAGGCCAGCCCTGGCTGCAGATGAATCATAGACTGAATGTTTGTGGCTCCCAAATGCAAGGAGATGGCATCTGGAGGCGGGGCTTTTGTGAAGTGCTTCAGCGTTGAAAATGGGATTAGTACACTTGTAAAAGAGATCCTAAGAAGTCATGTGTCAACCAGAGCCCCAGCCCTCAGTAGCCCCAAATCTGCTGTCACCTTGCCCCTGGACTCCTCGGCCTCCAGAACTGCACAGAAGAGATCTGCTGTGTGTAATCTGCACAGCCCACTGTGCTCCACTACAGAAGCCTGGACAGACTAAGCCTGGAGACGGGAAGGTGGCGCGCCTCCTAGAACAAAGTTAGAACTGCAAGAAGACTGAATGTGCTGTTGGAACTTGGGAGCCTCACTCTCTGTCTCTGAGCATCTGATTCGGTCTACCTCTCTGGTCATAAGTCCTGACCACCTGTGTGTTTGGGGCACCTTAACCGCATGTGCCTCTGTTAACAGGGGTGATGCTGGGATTGTCGGGTGCTTGGCATGACCGCTCTGGTCACGGGAGTGGAAGCTGTTAGTCTTGTTCTCTTGGCTTGGGTCTTCTGCCATGAGACGGGAAACCCCGCTGCTGCCCACACTGTGGTGTTCCTGATGCTCCCAATTGAGGGATGCCCATGCTATGTTCGAATCTCTTCCTGGCACCTCTGCACTGCAGGAGCCGAGTCCCTGGCCGGCCTGGGTGGGAGCTTACCCTTGCGGGAATGTGGACAGAGAAGGGACCTGGAGAGGGGGCTGGATGGCAGCCTGACTTGTGCGCTAGGCCATCGCCTCCTGTTTCCAAACTCCTTTCTCCAGCTAAAGAGGTTTCCATTGGTAGTTCACTACCTAAACTCTGGAGATCACCATGTTACAATCCTCCCACCTCCGCTGGGCATCGTGATTCCTATCTGTCTGCTTCTTGTTCTAACCCACATCCTTCCACAGGCCCCTTACCTTTGCCAGACACACCCGGCTTTTTTCTGTTTCTTAAGCACAAGGCTTTCTCAGGACATTTGCACATGCCATCCTTGTTGCCAATAATGTCTCTCCCCCAAATTTTCATGTGATCACTTTCAGATCTTTGCTCAAAAGCTACTCAGGCCCAGAGAGACCTTCTCTGGCCTCT